ATTGAGTGAAGGAACCAGTAAAGAAACCAGGAAATCATACGATCATGTGCCAGATGCGATGATGTCCTAGGTACAAATCCCCAATCCCACTGACATCCAGTCTATCCCAACTCCTGACCACCCTCTACAGGGTTTCTGAGACTACAAACCTTTATGAGAGCAAACAGCCTCATCTTTCTCCCTCAGAGCAGTAGCAGTAGGAAGTCAAGGATAACCTTCCTGGAGGACAGGTAGCTTTGGCTTATCACCTAAGCTTCAATTGTCTAGAGAATTAGATCTGTTCTACTTATTTCGTGAGGTTGTTGTGATGCTCATCTAGGGCCAGTGGAAGTTGTAAAATTGTTGCGAACAGTTTGTTTTTTTTCCCCCAAAACCATCTTATTGGGACTAATACAGGTATCTTATCCTTCCATACTATTTATTTGGAAACAACCCTTTAAGACCCCAGATACTATTTTATCTGATAGCAAGGCATCATCTAATTTCTTCACCACACCTGGCTGTAGCACCCATATCTTCTGTGTTCCCTTCCTAAGGGCAAGACCCAAGCAGGGCCGTGACATAAAAACTAATTTTTCTTAGATTGAAGCTAGGGTTTAGTGTGATCCCCAAATGGTTTTTGTCTTCCTTGGCTCCCTTTTAAAACCTCCTTGTTAATTTATGGTAGAGAGTCTTATTGATTATCTCCCTGGGGCATAAAGATCTTCTGTTAATATTTTTTTTATTAGCCCTTGGTACTAATTTTTTTAAAGCACTGTAGAGAGAGGGATATTGAGCCAATGTGGGCTAACTCTATATCACAGTACCTGCATTATTCACCTGTACAGATTCAAACTATGGGAGTTGGTTGCCAAGGAAAATTTACAATCATATTCACTGGGAATTTTCTTCACAGGCTTACCAGAATAATATCTATCTTAATACAGCATATAGGGCATTGATGTAGCAAGATCATGATTGTCTGCCTACTGACAGTTAAACCATTTTAGTACAGTTGCCTTCAGCCTTCTCAGACACCATGAATTTTCAGAGTTAAGTCTTCAGATTATGTCTGAGGTAGAGACCAGTTAACCTAGTGGAGTTTTTGTATTGGATCTCATTGCTGCAGCCTCTGGAGAATTTTTTGATGATAACTCATTTAATTTGATGATGACTAATACAGGCATTCCTCATAGAATTGACACAACATTCAAGAGAACACTAAGTGAATAAAGTAATTTATTTGCTTGCTTACCATAACTGAAATCCTGAATCTTTACTCCCTTTTTGAAATTGTCCTTGGTTCTTCCTGATAGACAAAAGTTAGTTTCCCCTATTTTAATCAGCGCTGCCTCGCTACCTTTTTCGCACTTCTGTTTCTGCATGTACTACCCTGTGCTGTAATTGCTCATTTGCATTTTTTAACTTCTTTCCTGGACTCTCAGGATTGTAACCATGCTTGAATATCTTTGGGTTGTCAGCGGTAACCAAATATAGTAAGTGCTTGATAAATGTTTGTTAACTAGATCTGATAAGGTATTTTCCAATGATGTCTTGTTGTGCATGTATCATAGCTATTGGGCAACAGTGATAGATAACACAGGGAAGAACGCATTTATGATCCTGATGGTCTAGTATAGAGGATAAAAATACAGATGCAAAATTGCAGCACAAAAGAAACATGGGGAAAGTAGTGAAGCAGTACTGATTAGAGGAAAGGGAAAGAAACCCACAACTTTTCTAAAAGAATGAAAGAGGATTTCAAAACGGCGATAACGATTCAGGATTTCAGTTGGGGAAAGTAAGTTAATAAATTATTAATGTTCTTCACATTGAAAAATGTGTTCTATTAAGGATATTATCCAGGCATGTGACAATAAAGATTTCTGGGTGCTGTGTGGGTGAATTAGGGACTCAGCATGGCCCATCTGCTTGGGGTCCAGAGGGAACTTGGAGAAAACGATAGTGGCATAAGCATTGCTAGAGCAGGGAGCTTGGAAGAGAGAGAAACCCAGTGTATTGGATGCACTGTAGAAAATGCTATTGAAGATATTTTCCCTTTTCTTCATTCTCAATGTTTTAACACTCTGCACTTTCTGAACCTTGTCTTTCCTCATTTGTATAACAAGGGGGTTGAGTCCCATATCCCTTTTTAACTCTACTAAGAAGTTTTTTGGGCTCATGATTTTACATTTATTTTTTGGTGCATTTTCTTTGCAAACAACTGAGTAAAGTAGACCTTAATAAGGGATGTCTGCATTCTGTGGAATGTTATGCACCTTCATTTTTTCCACCCTTTTAATACGCAAACATTATCAAAACCTTAAAAGAAAAGTAAAGGGCGGGGAGGAGGATCTGGATGAAGGACATAAGGACTTAACTGGGGCTTTCCTGAAGACATGCATGAGAGATAAATGACAGTGGGGGAGGCCATGGGAATGACAAGCATGAACAGTAGCCTTATGCAAAGAGTGTTGACGAAGTCTGAAGACTGGACAAATACAAGGGAGGGCCTGGAATGCCTTGGAGAGCTCCCACTTGATTCTGGAAGCACCAGAGGGCCATGTTCAGGCAGGACGAGAGGACGAACTTGTACCTGCTCCATGTCCTCAAAGGCTTGGCAGGGGATGAAACTAGCATGAGCGAAAGGAAGAGCGAGGGAAGTTGCTAAGGACGTAACTGGCACAGGACTCCCGTGAGTGAAGAGAATGAAAGCACGTGCTGAAGGGAGGAGGATTGCTTTTGCCAAGCAGTCATGTCGTTTGATCCAAGCGTGCTGAAAAGGATGCTGAGAGCTGGAGGGCTGTGGCAGATCGGCAAGCCTTTGCCTCCAGAGTATTTCTCAGAACTGATACAAGATTTATCTCAGCTGTCCAGAGTGGTGTGCAGAAATGTTTTTATCTCTGTTAGAAGCAGGTGTATATCTGAGACTGGGTAACTAAAATGGAAACGACCCAGTTTGTTTTTTTAAATAGCGTCCTTTAATCTCCATTCTTGAAGAACCAGCATATATCCAGAACTATTTAAAATGTTCTTATTTTTATGGATGAGGTTCCTGCATGGATACATTTTTATTCTTATGCAATTGTCCCCAAACCCCCGTATCCTTTGTATTTATTTGTACTTCTTGAGTTTTAAATCCTAGGATTATTTCAGCATTATCCAATGTAGAAACATAGAAGCTTGGCTTGACAATGCTGCTGACAATTTATATGTCAGGGTGTAACTGCCTGGCATATTCTTTGCTGTTTTGCATTCCATTGAAAAATATGCCTTTGTTTAGTCTTGAGGGAGTAGGCTTCTTGGACTTTCCGTATTCTTGGGACATGACTTTGACACAGCCAGTAACTGCGCTGCTTTGCATGGAATGCCGATGTTTGCACTGTCTCAGAGCTTCTCCAGTATCTTCATCATTCCTTTTACATACTGCAAGGTGTCTCTGATCTATAGTGAAGGATGGAGCTGTCTTCCCTCATGTAATTGCTAAGAAAATTACATGGGTTATGACAGACAAATCGTGCCTTCTTTCTTCTTTACCTCATTATTTCTAAAGCCTGTTTTGTACCACATGGAGAACATTACAGAAAGTCTGGCTAATTAATTATTATCCGTTGAAGCTATGAAGTCCTTTACAACTAGCAGTATGCCTTTGAAGCTAGAAAATGCTTTGTAAAACTAAATGTTAAATATCTTTATAGTTTTGTATTATAGTTTTACATTATAGTTTTAAACCCAGCTTATACCATCAGAAAAATATAAGGAATGTCCATATATGAATGCTCATATGAATGTTAATATTATTACTTAAATACATGATATTTTCAGAGAAAATGATTTCTACCTTCTAATTCATAAGGTCTACTTTCAGCTTATCTATTTTAAAGATTTTTTAAGAACATAATCTTTGGTATTTCACAAAGACATACTCTGTTCTACATGATAAGTACACCATTAACTTTTCCTAGACTGGCATCTTCCCCAAAGTTAGTTCTTTGCTGTCCAGGGAATGCAGAGGCCCCAGAAGTTACCATTTGAAGCAGTGACTGGCGCGCTCTATTAGGGCACTCATAATGGCAGCCATTGCCCCTAAGGAAATTACAATGTGCAAAGCCAGCTCAGGAGAATGGCAATAGTCAGCAATAGGGAAGGAAGTGGTTGAGACAGTTACACAGTGTCTTCGCTATCTAGTGTTCCTATAACAGAAATGCCTATAAGTAAGAGACTATAACAAATAGATGTTTATTATCTCACAATTTAGAAGGTTAGAAGTCCAAATGCAGCTAGCCCCTTCAGCTCTAAGGGAAAGCTTCGGCTTACGTGGACTCTGGGGGAAGGTCCTTGGCTCTGAACTTCTGTTCTGGGGCAACCTTCATTTAGCTTGGCATCTCTCTCTCCCAGTCTCTGCTTACTCACTTGTTTATTTAATCTCTTTTCTATTTAAAAAGAGACTGGTCAAAAAACATGCCCTATACTAATCCTCTCTCATCACCATAGTAAAGGTATGTCATTCCCATATGGTAATATGGTAATACAAGCTTAGAGGTTAGGATTCACAGCATATTATTTTGTGAGTATACAGTTCAATCCATAACATGCTGTAAAAGTTCATTTATTTATTTCCCCTTTTTTATAATTTTCATTTGAATTTACTGAAAAGTGTAGATACTTTTTGTACATTATCCTGGAGACAACTTAATTGTAGAATAAGTAAATGATTTATTTAGTTAGCAATCCAGTAGGCACTCGTCCACTAGAGTAAGAAAGGACCATATCTGGACCTCAAGACTATCCTACACCATTTTTTACTCCCTTGAGTATTTACTAAAACTAAGAATGTAATTTTATGTCATTTACAGCAAGTTTTTATGGTTTATAAGCTATTCATTGAAAAACAACCTTTCGTTGGTGTTTTGTTCTTATTCTTAAATATGTGGTGCACCATGGGAAAGCATGTAAAAAATAGTAAAGTCTTGAAACCTACTGCTGGCTTTTATTGACCCATGCCATTTTTACCTTCACAGAAATTGGGCCAGTTACAATCACCACCGATCCCAAGAAATTTCAGTATGAACTCAGAGAGCTCTATGTTCAGGTGAGTGCTTGCTTTTAATTTTACTTCTTTTTAGGGAATGTAAAATGGTGGTGTGTGGTTGATTTTTCCTACAGTTAAATATGTGAGAAGGCATTGTTGGGCTGTTAGGAACCAGGATAAACACTGTCTGTCTTTATCACCTGAATTCTGAACCAATTGAGCAGTGATTGTCGAAGAGGGACATGTAGGATTTAAAAAATTATCTTTATTACTAATGCTTACTTTCGCTCTCATAGAGCAGATGCCAACCTATAGAGACCCTATGTGTAGAAAATGTAGCTTGCTAACAATTCCTTGATTTTTTTATCCTTACTTGAAAAGCAACACTGGCAGCATCATGCACCATGGACTGAGCTGGCAACCACAGGTCCGTGGTTGGGACCCACCAATCTAGAATGATGAGGCTCTCTCCTACTGTGAAAACAGGAAGTCAGACACTCAGAGGCAGCTCTCACCTGCCGTATTGGGTCTCTATACATGGAATGGACTCAGTAGCAGGAGTTTGGGTACTCACCTCAAAGGTGCCGTGGTGGCTTAGTGTGTTGCACACTGACCTACCAGCCACAAGCTATTCAATCATGCCAGCCACGCCTCCTCTGACGGAAGATGAGGTATATACTCAGTAGCAGGGGGTACTCACAAAATGTCCTACTATTTTAGATGACTAGGAACCTTGCTTTTTATAGGTAAGAAATCACAAAGGGAGGGCCAACTTTGTTCCTACTCCAAAAGTTAGCAGTCGATAACTCCGTCTTCTGTTAAGAAAAAGTGCACAGGTAAAGAGAAAGGGCAAGAGTGCGACTCCAGAGTAGACCCAAGTGAACTACTGCTCCCAGGCCAAGTCTGCTCCCTGCCTGCTTTTGTAGATGAAGCTTTATTAGAACACAGCCCCACCAGGCCATTGATGCATCGTCTTAGGCTACTTTCATGCTACAACAAAAAGTTGAATAGTTGTGACAAAGATGGTCTGTTCTCTAAATGAATGAAAGCACGAAAGAAAGAGTGAATCACAATGAATCACAAGCGTATAACAGACTCAATGTCATTGTGTTGGTGCCACTCACAGCCACCCTAAAGGCAAGAGCAGAACCTGCAGCCATAACTCGTGATGGGAGCAGGAAGTCTCCTCTTCGCCCGTGGCGTTGCTGGTGGGTTTGGAATGCTGACCTATGGTGAGCAGGCGAACACTCCACCCATGACACCAGGGCAGCTCTTTGTCTGATCTGCGAAGCTTAAACTATTTACTCTCTGATGGGAAAAACAATTGCGGATACCTATTCTCTTAGTCTCTTCTCTTAGAAATATAAGGAACAGTTCAGACTTCTTCCCTACCAACAATAAAATATAACTACAGTAATTTTGATAGTCCATGATATAGATGTGTATGTTTGGTATTTTGAAATTTTTGACGATAAGTAAAACTATTTTTGTTGTTAAAAAACAAATAAACAAACCCAAGTTGGTCCCTTGTGTTACAGAGCAGCGCTACTACCTAGGCTTTCTTGATGAATCTTTACTGAAGCAGTTTTCCAGACATTTCTTTCATATTGCCCTTTGGTGTGTTTGAACCACCAACCTTTTGGCTAGAAGCCTATCCTAAATTGCTTTCAACATCCAGCCTTCACTAATTTTGTTATTAAAGAAAGTGGGCCCTAGCATGGATTTTAATATTATTCTGAGCACAGGTTGTGAAAGTTGGATAGATGTCTACATTTACTCCATTACTGCTTTGAGATTATCCCCCAATCTTTTTCGTTTCTGTAACTCCTTCATTGAGTGAGGCTCTTTCGCTCTTATTACCCTTCAAGGTCTAGTAGTGTTTATTTACTATTCCCAGATTTCTGTGGCAAGCTCTATCCTTCATCTCTGATATTGACACTTGGCTTTTGGCTACCTTTCCATCATATTCAGAGACTGAAGCATTCATGAGAATGACCTAGCTAGCCGACCTTCAGTTCCTGGATCTGTTCTTCTGCAATGACCTTTCATCTACAACATCTAAGGCTCTATCTACATAGACATCTCTGGAACTTGTCTTCACCCCAAATTATTTAATATCTTAAGTAACTCATTCAAGCCTGGTAATTTTCATTTACCTAGCTTTTTGGTTAAGTTTCTTTCACTACAACGTATCCTTCGTTTTCATCAAATTCTTCAGCCGATACTTTATTCTAGGATACTGGCCTCTGTACTTTATTTCAGAATGGTCACTCTCTTTTTTTATCACTTTCTTTTAATGCAGTTTTTACATTCCATTATTAAGAAACAAGCAAGCACAGTCAACCACCACCACTAACAGCAACCACCAAAAATCAAAATAAATGAAAACCTTTCGCTCAGTCGCTTATCGCATTTCTGTTCAAATCACCAGACAAACGCTCATGCTTGTATGACCGCAGATACTTGGCATTCTTCAGTACTGTCCCGGAGTCATCAGCTGCTGTGGATGTCAAACAACTTGGAAAACTGATTCCACTGTAAATTTAAAGCCCCTGTCTCAACTGGACTCTTCATATTCCCAGGTTCTGTTATGTTTCTTTGGTCAATTAAGTCATCCATTCCTTTGCATTGCAAATCTCACCCACTTCCATCAAACTTTATCCCACTCTCCTTCTACAGTGGACGGTTTCAACAATTGCTCTTTATTTTTATATCATTTTATTGGGGGCTTGTACAACTCTTATCACAATCCATACATCCATCCATTGTGTCAAGCACATTTGTACATTTGTTGTAATCATTATTCTCACAACATTTTCTTTCTACTTGAGCCCTTGGTATCAGTTCCTCATTTTCCCCTCCCTACCC